GGACCCACAAATGGGTAGGACCCACAAGGGGTAGGGCCCACAAGGGGTAAGACCTACAACGGGTAGGCCAAAAAATAATAAAACACAGGGAGAGGGGGGAACTGAAGAACAACACATTTAGACAGAAGAAAACAGGAAAATAGGAAAAGGGAAAGGAGGAAAAAAGAAAGGATCAGGGAAAGTCACGAGTGTTCTAAAGTTTGGAACAAATGACAATGTAGTGGGAAAGGAAGGCATCGACAGAGACAAAGCCAGGACTAAGATTCATACAAGGAAAGTTGTGTATAAGGAATGATTCAACAAGACGGCGACTGTGAAGGCTAGAAGTGTGATTGACAGTTTTATCAGAGGACCAGTCAATAGGATGATTGTGATCTCTAGCATAACAGAAAAGAACATTACTGGTGTCGGCAAGCCTAACACTTCTTTTGTGTTCTTTGAGTCTGTCAGAAAGACAGTGGCCAGTCTTTTCTATGTGACGGTTATTTCTGTATTAATCCTCAGCACGTTATTTATATTGACTTCATTAATTCCAGGTTTCTATATGTACATTTCAATCGTAATGTCCCATATTCCGTATCTTTCCAAAGAGCGAAAATATCAGTGCGTTCAGCCTGTCTTCGTTGGAAATACTTCCGATTCTGGGGACCAACATCGTCATATTTGTATATTTTGGGACTGTATGAAAGCGTTTGAAACAGAACCTCGCAAAAGATTGTGATAAAAGCAAGAGGAGCAGGCTTGGATAACAGGAAAAGCACAACAGTGGATCAAGCAGTATTTATCAGGAAGGAAACAACGAGTGTGACGAGTGGAGACGAGTGGAGTTCCACAAAGGTCACTATTGTGACCAGTACTGTTTCTCGTGCATGTGAACGACATGACAAAGAAATCTAGTAGTAGGTGTCCCTGTTAGCAGATGACGTAAAACTAGATGAAAAGAATTAGAACAGGACAGCCCGGGAAAGACTGTAAATGGATCTGGACAAGTTGCATGAGTGGTCTGAAAAGTGGCTATTAGAATTTAATCTCAGCAAATGAAAAGTAATGAATATCAGGAATGGATAAAGAAGACCTGAAACAGTGTACAGACTCAGGGAACAAAGATTGCAAACCTCCCTGAGCGAGGATTCAGGGTGAGCATAGTTCCTGATTAAAGTTTCCTGGATGTAAAACGCATCAACCGCAAGATTAGGAAATCTGTCGGTGGCTATCAGAAGCCTCAACAAGGTGGCATTCACACGGCATATGTCAGGCCATCATGGAGTATCCAGCGCCAGTATGGAACTCACACCAGAGAAAGCATCTCAAAAAGCTGGAAAAATGTACAAAAGTTTACGAGAATAGTCACTCAGATAAGATGGTACCCATACGATAAAGTGGTAAAAATGGAGAGAGATACAGTTTTATAAAGAACAACCTGCCCGTGTTTAGAAACCTGAAATCGAGTTTTACAAACCTTCGTAAGTTGTCAGGCAACAGAAATAAGGTAGGAGAGAGAAGAATGGGAGTATTACATATTCCTAGATTGAAAAAAAAGGCATTTCAAAAAAGAATCTATTGCCAGAAACTAGAGGACCACGCAAGAAAAATGGGAATCAAAGAATAGTTGTTAATAGGTACTAGACAAAAAAAAACAGATTGTTCTCGAAGAGGCATCAGAATGAGTGTGACAACTGGGGTTCCTCAAGGATCGATAATAGGACTGATATTATTGCGAACTACGAGTATATTCCGGAAGAAATAGTCTGGTGCATCTCTGTTCACAGACTGTGAAAGTCATGAGAATAAAAAAAAGGGAGAATAGGGAAAAAATAGAAATCGATCAAGACAAAGTGCATGATTGGTCAGACAAGTGGCTACTGGAATTTAACCCTGGCAAACGAATAGCTATAAAAAATGAAGAATAGGAAAGAAGGCCAAAAACAGAGTATAAACTCGAGGAACACTGACTGAAAACCTCATAAAAAGAGAAGGATCTAAGGGTGCGCCCTCTTCTGAACATATCACCAGAGGAGCACATCAGTTGAGTAACCCTTCCCATGATTGCGCTTTTGACAAATAAAACAGTCAAGGTTTCACTCACTATCCTATATACACCATTTAACTGACTTATCTTATGCGATACCAACCTGGAATCCACAGCCATTAGTCTCAATAATTTACAGAAAGTGTAAAAATTCACAAGTAGACTTATCTTGGAGACAAGGAAAATGAACTATGGAAAGAGAGATTAAGTGAACTAAACCTGATGATAATTACTGATAGTGGGACGAGTGGAGGTGAAATATCAATGTATAAAATAATAAGAACTGCCTGCAGTTCGGGCATTGTGGAGTGGGTGGCGATGAATTTTTCCTATTTGTCATAATTTACATTAATGACCTTGATGAAGGGATTACGAGTGACATGAGTAAGTTTGCTGATGATACAAAGATAGGCCGTATAATTCACTCTGAGGAGGATAGCAATGTACTCCAGGAGGATTTGGACAAATCAATGTCCTGGTCTGAAAAATGGCAGATGAAGTTCAATGTGGATAAGTGTAAGGTACTTGCCCTTGGTAATGAAAATAACCATCGAAGCTATAATCTAGGTGAAGTGGAGCTTGATCATACAGAATGTGAAAAGGACTTGGGAGTCATGGTGAGCAGAAATCTAAAGCCAAAACAGCAGTGCCTTAGTGTGCGCAACAAGGCCAACAGATTACTTGGAAATAAATGGTATAAAATACCGACACAGTGGAAATATAAACATTATACTGCATATGTGTTCATATTTCCAGATTACTTGGGTTTATCTCAAGAAGTATTAGTAACAGAGGTCCAAAAGTTATTTTACAGCTCTATACATCACTAGTGAGGCCTCATTTAGATTATGCTGCTCAGTTTTGGTCCCCTTACTACAGGATGGATATAGACTCATTAGAGAACATACAGAGAAGAATGACTAAAATGATTTACTGTGTAAGGAACCTCCCGTATGAAGATAGACTTAAAGCCTTAAATCTCCACTCTCTGGAGAGGCGTAGAATGAGGGGAGATATCATTGAAGTGTATAAGTGGATGACGGGCGTAAACAAATGAGATATTAATAAAGTACTGAGGGTGTCGAACCAGGTAAGAACCAGAAATAATGGATTTAAGTTAGATAAATTTAGATTTTAAAAGGACATAGGTAAGTACTGGTTTTCTAACAGAGTTGTAGATGCGTGGAACAGTCTTCCCAGTGGGGTGATAGAGGCTAGGACCTTGGGTAGCTTTAAGAAGAGTCTGGACAAATATATGAGTGGGAGGGGCTGGGTTTAAATGGTGTCATTGGGTACGGGAGTTATTTCTTGGGTATCTTTAGGTAGTGGTCGTTTTGATAAGGATTGGTGTCATGGGGTACTGGAGTTATTTCTTGGGTAGCTTACCATAGCCCCCAAGTCCTTTTCGCAATCTGTATGGCTAAGTTCTACATTATTTAACTTATAAGTGCTAGGGTTATGGACACTCCCGAGCTTCAGCTTTAGGTAGAGGTCGTTTTGATAAGGACCTGCCTCGTATGGGCCAGTAGGCCTTCTGCAGTGTTCCTACATTCTTATGTTCTTATGATAGAGGCGGGAAACAAGTGCATGGGAGCAGAGGCGGAAGTTAAAAAAGGCGATGAGCCACAGACATGGTGGAAAAAAAGACATTGTTTAGAGAACAAGTCTTTTATGGAACATCCTTGCTGTCTGTGTTGATTTTGATCAAGTCTTGACTTGATAAAGATCACTACAGCTGGAAACATCATCGTAATAAAAGCTGGGCATGCAAGTGTATCGTTTTCCTCCCTATTTTCGACAGTAAGGCATTTGGATCCAACCAAATATTCACGCATACAATATTTCTTCAGCCTCAGATGACTAAGAAAAGGAATAAGCGAGTGCTGTCGGAACAACGGCTAACCAGATTTAAAGCAAGTTACAATGAAGATAACGAAGAGGTATTGTGTGGATTTAAGTATGTTGCGTTAGAGTTTGTTTGTGGTTATTGGAAAATGAGTGCTGGAAGGAGGAGGAATGATTGGTCGAATGAATATCCTGGATGAAGAAATGTAAGAGGAGGCAAATTCCATACACTTCTTTAAGAGTAGGTATGAAAGAGCGCACTAGTCTAGGCGGTAGTTGCCCCGTTCACAGCCAGGTTACAGGAAGGGCCAAGAGCCGAGACTCAGCCCCTCGCAAGAGCAAAGAGGTAAGCACATACAGTATTAGGTAATTACACACTCATAAAAATCTATATTTCTGTTCTCGCTATAATAAATACGTAACCAAATTAATGAAGGTGTTTCAAGTTGTGGTTTGCGTCATGGGTATTCGTGCAAGTCATCCTTCAGTGCCGGATCCTGGGACCACTTCACTACGCAAGAAGACTACTGAACACCTGATTACTGAACACTTAATGACGAACATGAACAAAATTAAATGAGGTTATATTTGTCTCCATAGAACCTTTAAGCTCCATTCACTCAAGTTTATTGTTTTACAGCTTTAATAACTACCAAACTCGTGTGCCTTTCATGATGACAAAAAAAGTAATTAACGAATTTTCTTCTGATGTTCTACCAAATTAGTGATGTATCGGATATCCGCATCCGCATCCGCATCCGCATCCGCATCCGCATCTGCATCCACGGATATCTAAACTTTTCACATCCGATACATCTCTATACCAAATACATCCAGGACGACAAACAACGATACATAAACCTTTTTTTTTTTTTGCAACTGTTTAGTCACAAAGCTTACAATAAGATGACTGCAGTAGTGCTAGTTGTAAAATTATCCTATTGTCAGGGGTGTTTCAGGTGTGTTCAGTGGAGAAAGATTATACGAGGCGCTACACCATGTGAGTTATTGAGAGCAAGGAATGGTGGAGGCTCGATCTTCCATCTGCTAATAGCGAGTCAGAAACTCTCTTTTCGCAGTTTGGTGTGTACAGGTGAGAAATGTGGAGGTATATAAGTCTCCAGAGGGATGTGGAAATCACCAGTTGTGTGCTGTGTGACGAAGGGTCAACATGAAGCCGATCTACAGCTGGTTGTGTGTGATGGTTGTGACACTCTGTGCTCAACCTACATCAGCATTCGTTAAAAGAGGGCTTTCTATCCCCTCTGCGGTATCACCTGTCGAAACAATGGTAAAGACTCAATATTTTTTTGTAAATCGATGGAATAAATCCATTTATTGCATTGTTCAATTTGCAATTTAAACATTTTTATTCTACTTTAGCTCATCTTAAATCCCAGCCCCGATAACAGTCACCTAACACCCAGATGTTAATTTTCTGCTGCATAAATAGGGACACCAGGTGTAAACACATCCCTCCCCGCCATCCACCCAGAACTGATCATGGGTCCTTCAGATGTGAAGACAATGATCTATCAGTGAGTAACTACCCACAGTAAACCTCCAACAGATAAACTCCGACAAATAATGAGCCGGGAGAACGGCTCTTCTAAAGCAGGAGTGTGCACAAAACGAGTCACTTTTGGAGATTGATTTGGCTTGCAAATCAATTGAGAAGTTTGGCAATTACATGAGAGGCCATCGACTCCTTCATTTTGGTCCATATTAAGTTTCGAGTTGTTTTTTTTTTCGTGCCAAGATGTCCACCAAGAGGATTATTGTGAGCAAAGTCCATAGCTTGTCTACGAAAAAACCTAAGAGTAAACTTGTCTGCTAAGACCCTAGCTTGTTCCTCAGAAAGTGCAACATTCCTAATTCTCTTCAGAGTGGGATCGATGGGACATGATGGGTGAATGCTATAGTGACCTAGCTGTATCCTTAGTAAGCGGCCTGTTACATTCATTCCCTGTAGAAGATGGACGAAGTATATCAATGAATAAAGTGTTTAAGGGTAGAATCTGGGCAATTTTCCGCGCGTCAATGTTTAGAGAGGGAGCAAGTGGCCAGACTACTTTTTGTGTCCTAGCCATAGTACGAGCTATCACACTCAATAGGAACAAGGGAGGATTAGTTCTATATGCTTCAAGTACATAATTTTCATCGAGGGAATTATTTGTTACCCAGGATTCCCCAGAATACCAACTGATGCTGTAACATCATTTCCGATAAGATGAATAGCATCTTTCATGGGAAATTCTCCCGGTATAAGACTAGGTGTCTGTACTGTAACAATATTCCTTCTATAAGCTTCAAAGAGTATATCCATTTTCATAAACGCTCCGTGCAAAGCATACCACGTCGCGTTAGCCACGGTCTGGAGTTTTAAGACTCTCTGACCGCGGGATCAAATCCCGCCCGTGGTATGGTTTGTTTGCAATCGTGTCATTACGATTTCGTGAGTCATATGACAGACAGTTTGCATAAGCTTTACAAGGTCAGTCTCCTGGGCCTGGATAAGGTGAGATCGTGTATAAACTCTTCCGTAAGTACCCAGGAAAAGTACATTGAAATACTGTAAATTAACTTGCGTACTGATAAGGGTTAAACTTTACCTGGACAGCCAAATTTTTCACGTTTAGATACAGTGTTAAGCTATAGCTTCTGGATCCTCGACAGGCCCCACTTCATTATGTGCCAACACTAACAATCTAATGAATCAGGCCTAGCTGCTCTGATAACAGTTGCTCAGTTAACAGTAAAACAGACTATACAATAATAACTACAGTTCATAGGATCAAGGAGTAAAATTATATAAATATTTTATTAAAAACATATATTTATTTAACGGTTACTTTAAACACATTAAATAAACGAGAGTAATAAGTGGTCAGAAAATTTCAACAACCAGTGAATTTACTTCTCTTATGACTTATAAGGGTTCATGAATAAGTATGTAAACAAGGGTAATGAGTTATGAATGTAAATTTAAGATAAATATCACTTGATAGGGAAGCCTGAATTAAAACTCTGTAACCAAGGTGACTGCACTGGTAATAAACACCATGATGTTAAACACAATTTACACTGTAAGATTATGCACCTGAAACCACAACTTCAGTAAATTTACTAAACACGAAATACTCTGTCTCACCTACAGACTCAGTGTTGCAACCCAAAAGAAATACATCGCACAAGTTCTAGGCAGACGCAATGCCAAACAACCAAAAACAGTCGAGTATATGACAGCCGTTTAGCAGGCTGTCATATACTACAAATATGTGTGCAGGTAAATACACGACCCCACTCACACACGGATGGAATCACACACACACAGACACACAGGTATTTATGAGAAATAATACTGGATAGACTCGCGATGCTTTTCCTCCCAGCGCGACTTCATGGAGACGAATCCGGAGGAAGTCGAGGGAAAGACGCTGTACCAGAGTGACATGTTGCTGTCGGAGGAGCAGTGGCAGAGTGTGAGGGAGAGGAAGGCAATGGCAGACTTAGTCTACCGCTGGCCAAACGGCGGGGACGGTTACCCTATAGTCCCGTATGTCTTTGATGGAGGTGAGTGATGGTAGATTACCCCATCTAGTTGCGAGCACCAACAGCTTGATTAGCCAGATACCAGGCCATTTTAAAAGGACAGAGGATGGATCCTCCACTTCTTGCACTGAATGAACTACTTGATACACTGCTTTATACACTGTATCATTAATTTTTCTATTGAGGTCAGAGATAAAATCAAACTCGTGTCTCATCCAGCTGAGGAAATATTTAACACGACTAACCCCAGTTATTTTCAGACTTGTGTAATATTCAATTCCTTTAAAATACAAAAAAAGGATTAATAATTGTCTCATTTAATATTAAGTAACTGCAAATCCTTACAAAGGTATTTATTTATTTTAAGGCTGAACAAATTCGTCCTACTAAGCAGTGTATATCTCCCATACCTTATATGTGTGTTTCTAGATAAAGTAGACCGAGAAGCGTGTGTGTCTGGCATGGATCACTGGATGAAACACACCTGCATCAAATTCGCTCCCACTACCAACACTAACCAGCCTCACTTGAGGTTTATGTACGGCCCTGGATGCTACTCTTACGTCGGGCGTATACCATACTTCAAAGGGCAAGAGGTCTCCATCGGCAATGGCTGTAACCACGTGAGTTCCCGCTTCCATCACTCTTTATATCCATCAGACAAATAAAATTAAAAGTAACCTTATGGTATCTCAATAAAATATTTACATATATGCATATATTATGAAATAATCGTGAACAAGCAATACATAATGGAAAACAACCACGGGAAGGGGGGGGTGAGTTGAATGATAACTCTGGGTCTTTCAGGAGCTTGCAATGTTGCAGAGAAAAACGGAATTCCAAGCAAATACGTTCAGATGATGCGTGTCTGATCAGTTAGATCAGACACGCTAGACTACAGCTATCATTCAACTCCTCCCGTGGTTGTTTTCCATGTACATATATGCTTGGAGAAGCCAGCAAACTGAAGACCACATTATTTCTACACTAGAAACTAATTTTTGTTTATCCTCTCTCTTTATTTCTCATAGTAGATAAAACTAATTAATTACTGTCCTTTATTTTTTTGTCATCTCTTCCTCTTATTTGTCTCATACATTAATGTGTATATTCAGGCCCTTCTATATTTGAAGTTTGATACTGTATCAGTTCTGGTGGAACACCAGAATGCTTTGCTAGGGTTAATTTTTCCTGCCACGTTCTGCCCCTCCCAGGTCTTCCATTGCAATCCTGACACACAATAAACAATCTTATATCTGCTGGTAACAATCTAAAAAGCCGTGAACTTCGTACTGTGTTTTCTTACCGTGACCGTGGTTATCATCTTTGTTACCGGGCCTATTTCAGTGTACACTTCCTCATCAGAATATAAGAATAGTAACCACTGGGTAATAAAATTTAAAATAATAGATTTTTTACAGTGAGATGCCACACTTTTTTAAGAAATGCCAAGGCAAGAATTTACATAATTTCTGGCAGAGATTTATGAAGAGCTACAAATAATGACTGCTACTGGTATGTATAGATCCTTGTTGAAGATTGAGACACTTATGCAGCATATGGGAATCTTTATTCAGGAAACGTTTCGCCACACAGTGGCTTCATCAGTCCAATACGCCTTCCTCTTTGTATTGGACTGATGAAGCCACTGTGTGGCGAAACGTTTCCTGAATAAAGATTCCCATATGCTGCATAAGTGTCTCAATCTTCAACTTGTCGGTTTTTCAAACCATTCATCACATAGATCCTTGTATACAAATGAACAGGTATAGAACAGCATCTATCGAAACCTGATTCAAAAGTGGAACACGTGGAAAGAGAACAGCATAGGATGTGAGGTAAGACACATATGCAACAGTTAGGTATCTTTATTTTGAAACGTTTCGCCTACACAGTAGGCTTCTTCAGTCGAGTACAGAAAAGTTGATAGAAGCAGAAGATACTTGAAGACGATGTAATCAGTCCATCACCCTTAAAGTTTTGAGGTGGTCAGTCCCTCAGTCTGGAGAAGAGCATTGTTCCGTTGTCTGACAACGGAACAATGCTCTTCTCCAGACTGAGGGACTGACCACCTCAAAACTTTAAGGGTGATGGACTGATTACATCGTCTTCAAGTATCTTCTGCTTCTATCAACTTTTCTGTACTCGACTGAAGAAGCCTACTGTGTAGGCGAAACGTTTCAAAATAAAGATACCTAACTGTTGCATATGTGTCTTACCTAACAATCTGTCGGTATTTTATACCATTTTAATGTTCAGCATAGGATGTGTTAGATTTCATCCCTGTGAGCTGAACCAATCTCCGGGATTGGTTCAGCTCACAGGGATAAATCATGTGTGTGTGATAAGATCTTCCCAATGAATCAAGAACAACAAAATTATAGGGCGAGAGTTGAGTGGATGAGGTAGAGATGATGAGGTAGGAGAGCAGTGGGAAAATAACACAAAATGTAACCATTGTAGTGCTGTTATGATGGAAATGGTTCGGTCCTGGGATCGTGCCATTCCAGTTATAGAAATGGTAAGAAAACATAAGCTTATCGTGGGGGTAAACCCTTGAGAAGAGGTATAGTGGTTTTTCACCTGATTGCCATGTCGGGTGGTGGAGACAACAATAACTGACTGATGATCATGTGTGCAATGGGGCGGCTATATTATTGTTTCCTGCTTCTTAGGCATTTGTATTTGTTATAACAATGAGAAAAACTCCCACACAACGACGTCTGTAGATATATGGTCCTGCGATGAGTATTAGTGTTTTGGTCCAATCCCATGTCCCTGTGTCCCTGTGGATCACATAAGCGTCACTAAGATCGTTCCAACAGCATAAAATTTTGTGTTAGTTAATTCTGGTGGATAAATTCTTACCTATCTCTCTTAATATTTCTTCACAGAGATCAAACGGCATTACGTAAATACCGGTGTAGGTTGGTATGTCATAGGCCATATTCTGGCGAGTTTCTTGAAAGCAAGAAATGCCAAGTGCATATTTGTTATAGCCAGTGATCCCTAGGTGTGCTAGGAATGGCTTTTGCCTCCTCTGCAGTCAGAAGTCTGGTAAATGCTTATAATATAGGTGCACTCCTCCAGGAAAATAGGACAGGAAATGGAAGTCTGCAAAAAGAAGCCTATGAATGTTTCCCTTTTGGTGTGCAACTCGTCATGTGAGCAGTAGATCGTCTTTGTTGGTAGATTTTCTGTATACGTTGATAGAAAGATTGGACATCGTATTCTGAGGATATCTTGCTGTTCTGAACACAGCTTTCAGAACTGCCATGCTTCCTACAGGAATTCATCGCCGAGATCGTAATCCTCAGATACATCCCACAACACCCGTCATTCATATATTCCTGAGGAATAGAGAAGACGAGCTCAGTTTCTCTGCAAGGAAACACCGATACTCGCCTCGCAGCTGCTACTGCAGCTAATACATCCATGAAGGAACTCACTACAACGCGGCCACGACAAAACAACGTACATCTATCGCAGGTGTCTGCATGATCCAGTATGGAAATATAAACACAAATGCAGTATAATGTGATCCTTTATTGACAACGTTTCACCCACACAGTGGGCTTTCTCAAGTCACACACGGATCTACCTGGGGTTGGAAGGTACGAGAGTATTTATAGTCATGTTGAGGTCAGGTGGAGAATGCTGCATCTGATGATCTACCGGGTGGGGTTATAGAGTCTTGGGTAGCTTGGCAGGGGTATTGGACAAGTTTGGAGTAGACCTTCTGCAGTGTTCTATGTTCTTATGTGGCGAACCTATACATGGAACATCTAGAAGCCGAACGTTTCTCCACCATTATTCCTTCGTCTGTCACCTGGCTCCGTTATGTTGACGACATTCTCCTCATAACTCCTAAACGCTTCAACGTTCAAGCTCTCCAAGACAAGCTCAACCAGGTCGAGCCTTCAATCCAGTTCACACTTGAAGAAGAAGTCGACAACACTCTTCCTTTGTTAGGTAAGACACATATGCAACAGTTACCTAACAACCTGTCGGTATTGTATACCATTTTGATGTTCACTCTTCCTTTCCTTGATGCTCTGCTCTGCAAAGCTGACAACGAACTTCGTTTTAAAGTCTATCGAAAACCCACCAACCAAAACGATCTTCTCCACTTCTACTCTCACCACGACACCAAAACCAAACGTGGTGTAATTATAGGCTTCTTCCTACGTGCACTCAGAATCTGCAGCAATGAGTTCCTTGAGGAAGAGTGCACTATAATTGAACAAGTATTTTCTAAACTCCACTATCCTCGTCACTTCATCAGAGACTGCAGACGGCGGGCATTAAACATCTTCAACACACCCAGAGAAGACACTGCCGAGAAGAGATACATAGTCCTCCCAACCAACTCCATTGCCAAACATGTTTCCAACATCTTTGCCAAAACATCATTCCAAGTATCTACCTCCACAACCACGACCATCAAGGACATCACCAGTAGTAGACAGGACAAGCCTCCATCCTCTGCAGGGGTATACATAATCCCTTGTAATGACTGCAACAAATTATATGTGGGCGAAACATCAAGAGACCTCCAAACACGTATTTCAGAACACCAATATGCAAGCAGGACTGACGATACAAGGAATGCCTGTGTACAACATCGCAATTCACACAACCATTTAGTTAACTACAGAAACTCAAGACTTATAGCCACAGAAGACAACACTCAATACAGAAGAATCCTGGAATCATCGCTCATCTCTACAACCAACAATTTCAACCAGAACAATGGCTTCTATAACATAGCTGAACCACTCGCCAAGAAACTTCTTCATCGCTATCCCACATAAGAACATAGAACACTGCAGAAGGTCTACTCCAAACTTGTCCAATACCCCTGCCAAGCTACCCAAGACTCTATAACCCCACCCGGTAGATCATCAGATGCAGCATTCTCCACCTGACCTCAACATGACTATAAATACTCTCGTACCTTCCAACCCCAGGTAGATCCGTGTGTGACTTGAGAAAGCCCACTGTGTGGGTGAAACGTTGTCAATAAAGGATCACATTATACTGCATTTGTGTTTATATTTCCATTGTGTCGGTATTTTATACCATTTATTTCCATGATCCAGTATGGTCACTGTGAAAAGAAATTCGTAAGTGAGACAAGCAGGAATTTATCCATTAGAATTAACGAACACAAATATTCGAGCAATAGGGACAATTTTTGCAAATCCGGCAGGGGGACATTTAATGTACTCGATCAAGACACAAATGAACATAACAAAACCAGATCTCTACAGATGCAGATGCTGTGTGACAACTTTTTTATATTGAATACAGCCACATTGAAAGCAGGAGGATATAGCATCATCTCTAGAACATATTATCAACACTCAGGCACCGTCCTGACCACCACTGAACACGGTAGTAAGGTGAAAAATTGATAGATCTTACTTCTACTCCGGGGGTTTCCCGATAAAAATAAACTTACGTTTTCTTACCATTTGTGAAGTTGAAGCGACCGAAACTTTATCATTAAAACAAGAACTAAGGGGATGGCATTTTTTTTAATGTTCCACTTTTTGAACATTAAAATGGTATAAAATACCGACAGGTTGTTAGGTAAGACACATATGCAACAGTTAGGTATCTTTATTTCGAAATAAAGATACCTAACTGTTGCATATGTTCCACTTTTTGTCGGTATCACAACTTTATATCCAGGCAGGAGAGGTAGTGAAGATTGAGACACTTATGCAGCATATGGGAATCTTTATTCAGGAAACGTTTCGCCACGCAGTGGCTTCATCAGTCCAATACAAAGAGGAAGGCGTAAGGAGAGGAGGAGAATGAGGTAAACAGTCTATCAACCTGGAGTCGATGTGTTCAGTCCATCAATCTTGTAGAATGTACATTCTACAAGATTGATGGACTGAACACATCGACTCCAGGTTGATAGACTGATTACCTCATTCTCCTCCTCTCCTTACGCCTTCCTCTTTGTATTGGACTGATGAAGCCACTGCGTGGCGAAACGTTTCCTGGATAAAGATTCCCATATGCTGCATAAGTGTCTCAATCTTCAACATGTCGGTTTTTCAAACCATTCATCACAGGAGAGGTAGTGCGTGCTGGTCTTAAATACAACGTATTGATTGTAGGGTAACTCATTCCAGATCTCGAGCAGTTCCGTACACTGTACACTGTTACTGAGTACATACACTAGCCAGCACTTAAGCTTAGCACTGTACACTGCAGCTGAGCATATACACTAGTCATAACTAAATCCTTGGTTTAGAAAGACACGTAAGCAAACACTATAACATATTTATTAGAAAACGTTTCGGTCCTGGGACCTTGATCACTTCTAACATGTTAGAAGTGATCAAGGTCCCAGGACCGAAACGTTTTCTAATAAATATGTTATAGTGTTTGCTTACGTGTCTTTCTAAACCAACTTGTCGGTATTTATTACCAAGGTTTATACCAACTAAATCCTTGTACCGTACACTGCAGCTGGGAATAGTGGTTCACGAGGTGGGTCACGCTATTGGGTTCGCACACGAACATTCTCGCCCAGACCGAGACGAGTTCGTCCACATCAACAACGAAAACATCATACCTTCTCAAGTCAGGAACTTCGAAAAGAGAGCCAAATCTAGGATCAACAACTTCAACATCATCTACGATTTATCATCTATCATGCACTACAGCGACAAGGTTAGAAAGTTACAATACCATGGCTTGAGCAATTCATTTTATTATTATTATTATTATTATTATTATTATTATTATTATTATTATTATTATTATTATTATTATTATTATTATCATCATCATTATTGCTGTTGTTATTATTGCTGTTATTATTATTATTATTATTATTATTATTATTATTATTATTATTATTATTATTATTATTACAAGAACATAAGAACATAAGAATGGAGGAACACTGCAGAAGGCCTACTGGCCCATGCGAGGCAGGTCCTTATCAAAACGACTTCTACCTTAAGCTACCCAAGAAATAACTCCCGTACCCAATGACACCAATCAAACCCAGCCCCTCCCACTCATATATTTGTCCAATCTCTTCTTAAACTACCCATGATCCTAGCCTCTATCACCCCACTGGGAAGACTGTTCCACGCATCTACAACTCCGTTAGAAAACCAGTACTTACCTATATCCTTTCTAAATCTAAATTTATCCAATTTAAATCCATTATTTCTGGTTCTTACCTGGTTCGACACCCGCAGTACTTTATTAATATCTCCCTTGTTTATGCCCGTCATCCACTTATACACTTCAATGATATCTCCCCTCATTCTACGCCTCTCCAATCATACCACGTTTCAGTTAATGCAATGACATCGAAGTTCCCAGCACATGCTATCAAACGTAGTTCATTAATCTTATTTCTTGCACTTCGACTGTTAGCATAAAATACCATCATATGTTTTTTCTTCTGCACATTTTTTCCTATTCATCTTTGTTTTTACACGATTTCTGAAATTATCATTACCTAGGGTTACTCCATGACAGTTACTATTAAGATTCTTAATATCAGAGCATAAGTCAATATATCCATACTCACTTTTTATCATCTCTACACCCGTACCTCTAACTAATACTAGTTTAAAGTCCTAACAACCCCCTCAACTGAGCTAGCGAGAAAACCCACACCTGCCCTGGATAAGTGAACCCCATCCCTGGCATATATGTCATTTCGGCCATAGAAGTTGTCCCAGTTGTCAATGAATGGTACTGCATTATCCTTACAGTGTTTATCCAGCCAGCAATTAATACCAATTGCTCTGGACAACCATTCATTTCCAACACCTCTTCTTGGCAAAATGCCACATATAACAGGGCGCCCCCCCTTCTTCCTAATTATGTCTATTGCTTTCTTGAACCTTCTAACTAAGTCCTCACTTCTGCACTTGCCTACATCATTGCCTCCAGCACTGAGACAGATGATGGGATTGATCCCATTACCGTTCATGATGTTGTCAAGCCGGCTAACAATGTCCTCCATCCCAGCCCCAGGAAAGCAAACTCTCTGTTTCCTACTCCTGTCCATCAAGCAGAAAGCCCTATCCATATATCTAACCTGACTATCCCCAACAACAACAATATTCTTACCTTCCTTGGTGTCGTTTGTAGTGGCGTTCCCAGTAGTCGACTCGCATTCGTCGGGGAGCACCGAGAATGCACTGGATGTTTCCACAACAGTTTCCACAGCAGTCCCTTTCTTCTTCGTCGTCTCTACCTTTCCATTTGTCTTCTTGATCGTCAACTTCGTCTCATGTTGTCCAGCCACTGTCCACGTTCCCTTCTTGACCTTATTATAATAATAATAATAATAATAATAATAATAATAATAATAATAATAATAATAATAATATTATTATTATTATTATTATTATTATTATTATTATTATTATTATTATTATTATTATTAATGTTAGTGGTAGCAGTAGTGTTATTAATGTTATTACCTGCATAATGTGGGAAAATTTCTCGGTTTAAGAAGGGATGCCTCTCCTCTCCCTTCTTCCTCGTTGGGAAAATGAAGAGCGAGAAAGTCACGATCCCTCTCCTCAGAGGCCTACGTGAGCCAGGAAGTTGCTTTCCGGCAGACGAAGTGCCAGCCTCAGTGCCGTGGCACTCATTAACATATACTGTAATGTTAAGACTTAATACAAAATTTATATAGTGGGTATTCAGTCATTAATGATAAGGTGTGTCAGAACTGAAGGTGTTCTGTCACTCTTTATAATAATAACTGGCAGATAGATGCTTGCGATGCATGTCAGGAGTTAGGCTTCCAGCGGTAGGTTGGAGATCTGAAACCATGTTGTAGTGATTAAGTAAGCTAGCGGGTGTTGGCGAAGATTAATGGTCCCAGAGTAAGAGCTGGGCGGTCCTCTCCAAGCTCCTCGTGCATAGAATTATGTACATGGAAGTAAATTCGTTGTATTTGATGCTGATAAATGCAACCAGTATGTTCTCAGTGCCGGCAGACCGGGAAAATCCACCAGATAACACTAACTGGGCCCATAGACGTTTTGTCGTTCCCTGGAGCAAGCCAGAGGGACATTCAGTATTAGTAATTGTAACTGAACATTCTTGATAATGCTGAACAATGTTGAGGTGCTTCATATATTGAAGACGATCGAAATACGGGTCATAATGTATCGACGGCATTTAGATCATTCAGTGAAGAAAGCAGCTGCCATCATGTTCTCAAGACACCATCGTTTAGTTATCCTAAAAGCCATATCAGTCTGTTGTTATCTGTTCTAGAAATATGTTGCAACAAAAGGAAGGGAGAAGGTATTGTTCATATAGGTCTGTTACGCCTAATTACCTAGTTCTCGTATCTAGTGGTTAACAAAAGTACTTGTGGCACGAGAGTATCAGGTATACTACAACACCTGGTAAGTGTTCAACAGAACCGTTCATTGCATCATATTTTAAGCACACGTATAGCTTCTCTGGGAAATTATATATCTGTCGAATTGAAGGTAGGTTGTACGATCCATAAGGGTTTGGTGCTCACCAGGAAATACTTGAAGGCATATCTACTTAGTATGCCTGGAATAAGTATACATAGTGATTAATAATTAATATTAGTGCCAATACTTGTATATATCGGTTTTATATAAGGTTTAATTTCCTCTCAGATTTCGCATTCCAAAAATTAAGTTTGTGTCACTAGTTAAATTTACTTTTTGAGAACAGCTCCCAAAATTAAAGCAATACCAGTTCCTGAGGAACAATATTTGGTCAGTTTTCTTATTCATTTGTAAACTTACGATTCACTGTATGTTGTGTCATTTTTTGAGGACCAAAAATTGTATTTGAAAACTTTGAAAAATTATCCTAGTGTGGTTGTGCTATCAGGGCCTTCCTCTCTCTTTTACAGAGCTTCTCTATTAACCGCAAGCCCACCATCTCCACCCTGGACCCCTTTATGCAAGGCGTCATAGGCCAGCGTGATGGGCTCTCACACAGGGATAAACTACTGGCTAATAAAATGTACAACTGCATAAGTAAGTGACGCCCTTGCTCAGTTGTGATTGTTTCAGTCGTTATATGTTAGTTGTCTGTTGTTGTAGCAATTGTTTGACTCACTTGTGATTGTCAGTGGATGACTGTGACAATCACAATAACTGATCACAGGAGACTTCAACCAAAAAGGTTTCAAATAGACTGGGAAAATCCGGAGGCACACGGAGGGCAGGAAACGTGAAGAGTTAAATTATTGAAAGAAGCGATTGAAAAATTCACAGGGACACAACTAGAGAGAGAGTGGAGGAACCAGAGAGGCTGGACCTTGTGTTCACTCTCAGTGAATCTGATGTAGGAGATGTTGAACATAAGCTTACTCGGATCTAGAGACTACACAGCAATACGCCACTTTTCCTTAGAGAAAACTTCTCAGTCAACCTGTTGCCCCTCGCAACATTGCATAGCTCCTGATGAATCAATGAAAAGCGTGAAAGATCTTTACTTAAAGATTGCCATGCCTATCGACTTTTTTGTGCATATATATATATATATATATATATATATATATATATATATATATATATATATATATATATATATATATATATATATATATATATATATATATATCATCTGTGTGTGTGTCCTCATCTATTTATACTCACCCATTTGTCGTTGCAGAGGTCGATTCATAGCTCATAGCCCCTCCTCTTTACTGATCTCTACTGCGTCCTCACTCTCTCCCTCCTCCATGAGCTTTATCGTACCTCGTCTTAAAACTATATATGGTTCCTGCCTCCACTACATCACTTGCCAGACTATTCCACTTTCTGACAACTCTATGACTAAAGAAATACTTCCTAACATCTCTTTTACTCATCTGAGTCCTCAGCCTCCAATGGTGACCCCTTGCTTCTGTGTCCCATTTCTGGCACATCCTGTCTCTGTCTACACTGTCAATTCCTCGCAGTATTTTGTATGTCGTTATCATGTCTCCCCCTAACCCTCCTGTCCTGCAGAGTCGTCAGGCCGAGTTCCCTGAACCTTTCTTCGTAGAACATTCCCCATAGCTCTGGAACTAGTCTTGCTGCAAACCTTTGCACTTTCTCTGGTTTCTTGACGTGCTTGACCAGGTGTGGTTTCTAAACTTGTGCTACATACTCCAGTATGGGCCTGACATACACAGTGTACAGAGTCGTGAACGATTCCTTACTGAGGAATCGGAACACTATTCTCAAGTGTGCCAGGCGCCCATATGCTGCAGCAGTTTTCTGGTTCATGTGCGCCTCAGGTGATGTGCTTATTATACTTACCCCAAGATCCTTTTCCTTGAGTGAGGATTGCAGTTTTTGGCCACCTAGCCTGTACTCTGTCTGCGGTCTTCTTTGCCCTTCCCCGATCGTCATGACTTTGCATTTAGCAGGGTTAAATTCAAGGAGCCAGTTGCTGGATCAGGCCTGCAGCCTGTATGTGTATGTGTACTCACCTAGTTGTACTCACCTAGTTGTGGTTGCAGGGGTCGAGTCATAGCTCCTGGCCCCGCCTCTTCACTGGCCTCTACTGGGTCACTCTCCCCGCACCATGAGCTTTATCATACCTCTGCTTAAAGCTATGAATGGATCCTGCCTCCACTACATCGCTTCCCAAACTGTTCCGCTTCCTGACTACTTTGTGACTGAAGAAATACTTCCTAACATCCCTGTGATTCATCTGTGTCTTTAATTTCCAACTGTGTCCTCTTGTTGCTGTGTCCCATCTCTGGAACATTCTCTGTCCACCTTGTCAATTCCTCTCCATATTTTATATGTCTTTATCATGTTCCCCCTATCTCTCCTGTCCTCCAGTGTCGTCAGGTGTGTATGTACTCACCTACTCACCTAATTCACCTAATTGTGGTTGCAGGGGTCGAGACTCAGCTCCTGGCCCCGCCTCTTCCCTGATCGCTACTGTGTGTGTGTGTGTGTGTGTGTTATGACCATGCTAGATTTATATTAACGTAGAGACTGATGATGCTTGTACACATATACCATTAACACAGACAAGTGGCTGGCCAAGTGTCATCTGAAAACTGACCCGTGCAGAAATGAAGGTTACTTAGGCGCCTCCTGCAAATGCGTTTGTCCTCCTGGAACCTCCGGCACCTACTGCCAGGTGAAAACTGGCTCCTATTACAGTAAGTCGCGTATTCTTTTTGCTAGTGCACTAATTAGTAAGCACGCTTGTCATCATTGCTATTTATTCTTTCTTTAAGGTATGTACTTTAATCAGATCAGTAGTTAATAAATTTTGTATTGCAGTAACCAGCCAGTTACAGGTCCTCACTGGACCGACGCTGAAGCACTACAGAAAGGCACACATAGAGCAGAACTATCTTTTATTCTGAGACAACGCTTCACTTTGTTAAAGTGAAATTATCTATGCCACTTAATAACTTATCATGCAACATGTCTTTTCTTAACAACAGTCTTCACTGTTGAAGAACTAGCGGAAAAAAGTATATAAATTCCGTTTATCTGCGGCAGAAATTAACAGTTGTTACCTTTCAGCTGTCAGTGCTCTTCGCAAAAAATATTAATGAAAATTTACTTTCAATATTTTCGTCCAGTATTACTGAACTTGGGTGGATGATCAACGCTAGGATGGACAAGGTTATGTTTGGGGTGAATGGCAGTCTTCGGGTGGTGTCCTGAGATTCAGTTGGCAACGAACTCGCCTTACACACTGAGAGTCTGGAGTTAAGTCCCCGGCATGGGTGAAAACGTAGGGCATGTTTCCCTTGCACCTGCTTTCCCTGTTCACCTAGCAGTAAGTAGGTACCTGGGTGTTAGTCCACTAGTGTGGGTAGTTTCCTGAGGGAAGCAAGATTGAAGGTCCACAGTGGAAATTAAACAGACAGTTTCTGATGACTCACTGACTTTCTTGGGTTAGCCTGGGTGGCTAACCTTCCCGGGTTAAATATCCCAACATCCGGGGTTAAAAATCAGAACGAAATCTCTATCTGGTTTGAAAGCGAGTATAGGTAAGCTTCCCTTACTAGTCACTGATGTTATTCGTTTTCTCTTATCCTAACGCATGAAATAATAAGAGAAAATGAGCCTTAAATAATAATAATAATAATAATAATAATAATAATAATAATAATAATAATAATAATAATAATAATACTGTCTTTATTTCTACAAGTACATGTACAGGGTATACAGTCCTAGCTGACATCAGTGACATACCACTATACAGAAAGCCACTTGTTATGCATAATGCCATGGCATGATAGTGGCTCTCTTTGCGCTGCAACTCGGATCGACACCATGCCCAGCCCTTCTAGGGCAGGGTAGGTGCCTGAGCTAGAGCTTGCAGCTCACAAGATTGCCATTCCAATTAGCCTCCCTGGGGCGGGGATGGCAGACCAGAGAGGCCTAGCTTCTCCCTACGAGCCCCGTGAGGGCGGGGAATGTGGCTAGACCTGGGGACAGTTGGTCCCAACGATGAGGAGGTACTTGTACCTCCTCCCATGGCAGACGTTAGTCTGAGATACTCCCGAGAAAGGGAGCCAAGGCCGGGCCACCACTTGGAAAAGGCCCGGGCCGGGATAGTACCGGCGAATCAAGAAGAAGAAGAAGACTGCAACTCACTATTGTAACTACAGAATCTCAACGTAAACTTGCAAAGAAATAAAAACTGTATTGTATAATATTTCTGGCAAAGTAGGTCAGTTTTGTCCCCCAGGATGCGACCCACACCAGTCCAATAACACCCAGGTACCCATTTTACGGATGGATGACCATGGACAACAGGTGTCTTATCAGCTGATCAGATCAGGTTTCAGTCACAGGTGAATAAATAAGTTTATTCAGTTACAAGTACACATAAATACAGTTACGTAAATTATCATACATAGCAACCTAGGTGTAGATTACCTAGGATAACCCAGATGACACAGGAATTGCATTTATTTTGTAATATCATTTGTTGCTATCATATTTTCTTGCCCAGTTACAACATACAGTGTTGATAAACACTCATGGTTGATCAAGATAAACCTAGCAACAAATTGTATTTGCTTATGTTTTATTGTTGGAGAATTTATCCTATGTATATGTGTGTATATATATGTGTATATATATGTGTGTATATATATACATTTCTTCACCCATACTCGCAATTTATGATGGATGTCCAGGTCACAGCAGCGTAACAGAAGTAATGCTGATATAATGTCTTAATTAAAAGGTATAATATAATAATAATAATAATAATAATAATAATAATAATAATAATAATAATAATAATAATAATAATAATAATAATAATAATAATAATAATAATAATAATAATAATATAATAATAATAATAATAATAATATAATAATAATAAATAATAATAATAATAATAATAATAATAATAATAATAATAATAATAATAATAATAATAATAAATCCATGATAAGTTGAATGAATAAACAGAAGAACTGTCCGGAACTTGAACTATGGAAAAAGCTGCCCGGTTCTGTAACTACTCTAGCTCCTGAACTTACATTAACATGATACATTCATGTCACAGTTTTGCTGTGACATGAATGTATCAGCAACATCAACAGTAACCCTACTTTAATAAATGTCCTGAGCTGTATATAAGTGTTTTTTTTTCCACATCTTGTCGGTATCACCATAACATTTCTCCAGTAACCCTATTGTCTCATCCCACAGCCCTGAAGGGTGTCAAGGCCCCTGCGGCCCTGTACATGGGACATGAGACTAGGGATCACACTTGGTACCGCTAATATATCCAAGTTTCAGTTGTGTTGATTGTAAAAATCATCCTATTGTAAGCTCCGTGGTTGAGTGGCTATAACGTTGCGCTTCTTATATGCGTGGACCACAGTTTGAGTTCCCAGTCATTCTTCTCTTTATTCACTGAGAATCATTAATCAGTGACAGATGCATTTAATGAACAAGAATAAGTTTATTTCTAGACAGGAGCTCCACCAAATTGCGAAACATTAACATTAACCGAAAATTAACAACGACACAAACGAATCAGACATATAACCAACACCTCATCAACTACTCATCAACACAAAGCATTAACAACTTCAGCATCAAAAACTACCTCAATCATCAACTTCTCAACTAAACACAGCACCAACAACTACAACACCATTAACCGACTACCATCTACGCTAATAAACACATCAATAACTACAAAACCATCAACAATTATCATGATACCAATAACAGACAAGTTAACAATACTAGCCAACACTGCCCCCATAACTGTCCCAACTACCATGACTCTGGCTAATCACCGACATTTCTCTCACAGCTGACAAAATCAGTGCTTGTTCTGAGCGCATCACTCGGCCAGGAATCATCACGTCACCAAACTTCCCCAACAACTACCATGCCGGTAACTAGTGATTGTTAATCTTAAAATACAGTGACTTTTATCCATGTGTGGTTCTCTGTTTCTATTTTGTAAAAGTTTAAAATTTCGTACAGGCTCAGTTACCAATTTGTAATTGTTTATTTGTATTTACCTAGTTACAATTGGTTGTTTGATTTTGTGAAGAATGTGTCAGCGTCTGCTCTTCCTTCCGCCTATTTCAGCCAGTTGAGGTGAATGAACTTTGATATATCTTTGATGAGTTCTGAAAGTTTTTCTACTACCGGAGCCCGGTGATGGGTCAGGCTCGCCCAGTGCTTGCCTGGTCAACTAGGCTGTTGCTATTAGGGGCTCGCTGCCCTACATATCCATCACAGCCTGGAGCTAGTCATATCTATTTTTTAAACCGTCCATGGACTTCACTGTATCATTGCAGTGTTCAACTCAGGTGTGTACTCACCTGCTTGTACTCACACGTATATGGATGCAGCGGCTGAGTCTTAGTTCATAACCCTATTCTTTAATTTGCTGTTTGCTGTATATACAACTTCCTAACTTCGTGAACTTTTTCATATTCATTCTTAGTTCAGTTCCCGACCGCCCTAAAGCTGAAGAAATGCTTTCTGACGTCCCTATGACTCCTCTGTTTGTTTAACTTCTGTGCCCTTGTGTACCTGTTCACCGCCTCTCGAACAGTATATCAATGTATCATTATCACGTCTTCCCTGGTTCTTTTATCCTGTAATCTCGTCGAGCTAAGTTTCTGCAGCCTCGTCTCATAGCACTAGGACTAATCTCGTTGAATATCTCTGCTCTTTCTCTAGTTTCGTAATATGCTTTGTCAACCAAGGGAATTCATATTCCAAGATAGGCCCAATATATGTCGTATATACGCCTAACATGTGTCATATATGATTCAGTGTTAAGACTTCCGAGAAGTTAATCTTAGATTTGTCGAACGAATATCAGATTCAGAGTTTATTTAGTTGATGTGTGCCCCTGGTGGTAGTCTTTGCATCAAGCTCATCCCCTGATCTTACTCCTTGAGGGATATTTGAAGTGTTTGTTTCCTGTAATCTATATTTAGTATCCGATCTTCTTACATCGTTCCTTCTTGCTTATGCTGGAGTATTCTTGACGTTGTGTTCATGACTACCTGTTTCCCCACAGGTGTGAAATGTGTGAAGTTAATCGTGGCTCCCAAGTGCTTCACTCCTCGCCTCACCTTCACATCGTTCAAGCTCTACGGCAAGTCTAACTACTGCGACGGCAAGAGTTGCTGTTACTTCGACAATCTAGAGATCAGGACGAAAAACCCCTTCTCCGGTGATATGTGAGTAATGAAATGAACAAACGTATGTAACGCTTGTATGCAACATGTATGCAACATGTATGCAACACTTAGGACACGTACGCAACAATAAGGATAATGTTTAGGTAACGTGTTAATAATATTAATCTTATGTAACAGGTATATAGACCATAGCTGACATACTATATAGAAAGCCCCCTGTTATGAAGAGCATGTCGGGAAAATTAGGGTGCCCCGTGGCCTGGTGGCTAAAGCTCTCACATCACACTGCGAGGGTCAGAGTTCGATTCCCGGCGAGGGTAGAAACATTGGGCATGTGTCTTTACACAGGTTGTCTATGTTCCCCACCACTAAAATGAATACCTGGGTATTAGTCGACTGGTGGGTCGAACAAAACTGACCTAATTTGCCCGAAATGCTCTGTATAACAAGCGGCTTTCTATATAGTATTATGTCATTGATGTCAACTAGGCCTGTATACCTTGTACATGTTTCACTGATGTCAACTAGGCCTGTATACCTTGTACATGTTTCACTGACAGGTGAACATGGACAGCAGGTGACTTATGGAAACACGACCTAATATTTCCACCATATATATATCTTCTTTCTTTCACTGTACCAACAGTATCCCACCGAGGCTGGGTGACCCAAAAGAAAAAACGAAAGTTTCTTCTTTTAAATTTAGTAATATATACAGAAGGGTTACTAGCCCCTTGCTCCCGGCATTTTAGTCGCCTCTTACAACACGCATGGCTTACGGAGGAAGAATTCTGTTCCACTTCCCCATGGAAATAAGAGGAAATAAACAAGAACAAGAACTAGAAAGAAAATAGAAGAAAATCCAGAGGGGTGTGTATATATATATGCTTGTACATGTATGTGTAGTGTGACCTAAGTGTAAGTAGAAGTAGCAAGACGTACCTGAAATCTTGCATGTTTATGAGACAGAAAAAAGACACCAGCAATCCTACCATCATGTAAAACAATTACAGGTTTTCGTTTTACACTCACTTGGCAGGACGGTAGTACCTCCCTGGGAGGTTGCTGTCTACCAACCTACTACCTAGGACCATATATATATATGGGTCCCACAATTTACACCAGAGGTGGACCCCATCATATATGAATATATATATATATATATATATATATATATATATATAATATATATATATATATATATATATATATATATATATTATGTGTGTGTGTTGTGTGTGGTGTGTGTGTGTGTGTGTGTGTGTGTGTGTGTGTGTGTGTGTGTGTGTGTGTGTGGTGTGCGGCCTTTTAGGAAAAAAAATATTTAGGCAGAACCGTCCTAAAAAATAGATATTTTCTCTAATTTTCTCTTACATATTTATTGTTTTCATATAAATGTTGTAAAATATAAAGTTTTTCATAAAAACTAACTTAGAGACCTTACCTACCCTGACTATTACAAATTTAATATATTTTAGCCTAACCAACTATTCACATTCTAGCCCAGTTTAAATTTATTAAATTTTTATTAAAATTAATGTTTTTTTTTTTAAGTTTGTTCAGACTGACAATTTTATCTGGAGAATGTTTAAAGTTTTATATTCATATCATGGAAAAAAACAGAGCAGGTTTTTTTTTTTTTTTGGAGAAGTTATTTCAGCTAACCCGATCGACACCATGCCCAGCCCTTCTAGAGTAGAATAGGTACCTAAGCCAGAGCTTGTTGCTCACAAGATTGACATTCCCATTAGCCCTCTTAGGGCGGAGATGGCAGACCAGAGAGGCCTAGCTTCTCCCTACGAGCCCCTTGAGGGCGGGGAATGTTGCTAGGCCTGGGGACAGTTGGTCCCGACGATGAGGGGGTACTTGTACCTCCTCCATGGGAGACTTAGGTCTCAGACACTCCCTAGACAGGCCGCCAAGGCCGGGCCACCACTTGGAAAAGGCCCGGGCCGGGAGAATACCGGCAAATAAAAAAAAAAAAACTAATCCAGGAGTTTGCCTATATATACTCTGATGAGTATATTCTTCCTGATGTGTGTGCACAGAGTAAACGTGCATGTGCACGGGCACTCTCAGTTTATATTCTCTTTGAGATTAATCCTATATTTGGGATTATAGTAGTTTTTGACTGGCGGTGAAAAGGTCATCATGTAGTCGATAGGCTTTAAACCCCATTAACCAACCACATAATTCTCGCTTTGTAGAGGAAACTGCAGATGACGCTGTGCTTCACCCAGAACCATTATCAAGAAACATACTGATAATGTGACTTAATAAGGTTTCAGGAGAGACCGAAACCTGGTCTCTAGTTTCCTCTCCCAAGTTTTGGTTAGTTAAGTTATTCCAGCCACTGAACTGCGACTTGAAATCTTTATAAAGAAGTAACTTTAACTCAGATTCTGTGGGACTGAGATAGCAGCCGGACGCTCCTTCACCTCCACCACCAACACCATGATCCTCAACTTCCAAACTCTCACCAACTTCTACAAGGGCTGGTCAGCAGAGGTCACCTTTCATCAGATCCCTACCTGCAGGTAACTTCAGTATTTTTTACTGTGTTTTTATATTATTTCAAGATATTATATTACTATTAGTGACACATTCCTAAAAGTACAAGCCAGTATAAAACAGTACTAAAGATTCAATAATCACCATCTATTATAAATCTCTAAGCTTATATATCTAACTACACACTTCACGTGACAGGAAACTAGTTGAGATATACTAGTTTTGTTCTGTAGATTAAATTGTGAGTAATATTTCGTGGATAAGCACCTTATCAATTTTTTTTTTGTAATTTATAGATTAACATTTCAGTAATACTTTCTAATTTTGGGAAAAGTATTCAGAAAGTATGAAAATATTTCAAGGTTTAATCTAGATAGAGATTACGTAAATTCACTGTTTCCCAGTGTAATAATTTTTCTGAGAATTTTTTTTCTGAATATCTGACACATCAGCTTCAACAGCCTAAATATATATATATATATATACTTCACAGCCCGGACAAGGGTGTATACACTATGGGGTGTGTCCCTGTTACCGTATATGCACTGAGGTGTATGTCTCAGTGTATATACATCGAAAAGTGTGTATCACTCTCAGTGTATATACACCAAGATGTGTTACTCTCCGGGCAGGTACATTAAGAGGTGTATTCTTTAGTATATACACACTGAGAAGTGTGTATCGCTCGGTGCATCATACACACCGAGAGGTGTATAACATAGCACTTCCCCCCTGCATATAATAACAGATAGTGGTATCAGTCAGGATGAAAAAACACATCCTAATCAAGCTTTTATCGTGACAACATTTCGATTTGCGCCGAGCTACATTAGAGCGAAACGTTGTCAAAATAAAAACCTGCTCCGAAATGTGTCTTTTCCTCAGTACCTTCAACAATTCGCTGCTGTACCCGCTGCAGGTGTTGTTTGCACCATAATCCAATTAATCTCCAGTACTGTTTACTTCAGCTTAAAAAAAAAATATGCCTGAATCAGACAAAATGAACATTTATATTATTTGTTTACTTTGCTTTCAAGCAGCTAATTTTTTCTGCAGCAGTAATTAGTGCAAATAACGAGATACTCATACATTTAGTCTTGCGTCAAGTCTGACGTTGTCAGGGTGCCACTAATGACCATTACGCTTTCTGCTATGCAGGAGGTAGTGGCAGTGACTACACAGTGAACGCCCACACAGATTCCTGAACGTCCACACAACTCAATGAACGTCCATTCAAATAACTGATCGTCCACGCAGCTTAATGAACATTCTCACACCTTCATGATTGTCCAGACAACTTAGTGATCGTCCACCCACCTTGGAGAGAACGTCCACGCAGCTTAATGATGGCCCACGCAGCTTAGAGAATGTCCTCGCTGTTTAATGATGTTTCACTAAGCTTAGTGATCGTCCAGCAGGTTATTGGAAGTCTACACAGCTTAAACATCGTTCATGCAGGTTGATGGACATCCACACAGCTTCCACCACCAGCTCTATAAATGCCTAACGTACTGGGAGACCTTTCAAAGTCTTCCTCAGAAGAACCTTGGCGAGTACATCTCTCTTAAACCTTACTTAACTCCATTGGCAAAAAACTGTCTGTTCTTCTTCTTCTTCTTCTTCTTCTTCTTCTTCTTCTTCTTCTTCTTCTTCTTCTTCTTCTTCTTCTTCTTCTTCTTCTTCTTCTTCTTCTTCTTCTTCTTCTTCTTCTTCTTCTTCTTGTAGAATTGCCGACAATATGTTAGGTAAAAGGACACAAGTGCAACTAATGTGACATTTTATTGTGGCAACGTTTCGCTCTCCAGAAGCTTTATCAAGCTGTTACAAACTAACACATGGACACAGAGGGTATATATAGGCTTAGAGTGAAGTGCAAAGCGTAATATAATTGTTGTATGTGGCAGTCGTGGTACTACTACCTACCTGTGTTCCTTGGTTTAGGTAAAAGCCTGGTTGGGAGAGTTGAGTTACTGTTTACAGAGGATCGAGCCTCCAGCGTTCATTTCGCTGACTGAACCACAAAGGTTTGACGTTTTATATAATAATAATAATAATAATAATCATAATCATATAAAGATAATATAATAATAATAATGATAAAAGTAAAATATAATAATTATATAATATAACTAGTTGGCTTAACTACCTAGTGACTATAAAACCTGATTGGAAATTAAGTTAGTCTTAAGGGATGTAACTTCAGTTATTTCTGACTGACACCAGTACACAGTGTGAAGTTCTCTGTCAGATACACAGTAATAAAATGTAAGTATATTTTATAGCATTATCCAGGTAAAAGTATAAGTATATATCAGCACTACTGCAGGTACAAAGTATAAGTAATCTTCATTAAACTAACAGTAATAAAAGTATAAGTTTTCATCAGACCTAATGAAGTACAAAGTAATAATTCTATCACATACTCAGTAAAAGTATAAGTACTATCTCGCACCTACTACTAGGTAAAAAAAGTCTTCATAAGCTAAGCCTACTCAGGATTAAAGTATAAGTTCTCATCGCACCTACTCCAGGTACAAAGTTTAAGTTCTTCATCAGCACCTACACCAGGTAAAAGTATAAGTTTTATCAGCACCTTACTCCAGGTACAAAGTATAAGTTCTTCATCAGCACCTACTCAGGTACAAAGTATAAGTTCTTCATCAGCACCTACCCAGGTACAAAGTATAAGTTCTTCATCAGCACCTACTCAGGTACAAAGTATAAGTTCTTCATCAGCACCTACTCCAGGTACAAAGTTAAGTTCTTCATCAGCACCTACTCCAGGTACAAAGTATAAGTTCTTCATCAGCACCTACTCCAGGTACAAAGTATAAGTTCTTCATCAGCACCTACTCCAGGTACAAAGTTTAAGTTCTTCATCAGCACCTACTCCAGGTACAAAGTATAAGTTCTTCATCAGCACTTACTCCAGGTACAAAGTATAAGTTCTTCAACAGCACCTACTCCAGGTACAAAGTATAAGTTCTTCATCAGCACCTACTCCAGGTACAAAGTATAAGTTCTTCAACAGCACCTACTCCAGGTACAAAGTATAAGTTCTTCATCAGCACCTACTCCAGGTACAAAGTATAAGTTCTTCATCAGCACCTACTCCAGGTACAAAGTATTAAGTTCTTCATCAGCACCTACTCCAGGTACAAAGTATAAAGTTCTTCATCAGCACCTACTCCAGGTACAAAGTATAAGTTCTTCATCAGCACCTACTCCAGGTACAAAGTATAAGTTCTTCATCAGCACCTACTCCAGGTACAAAGTTTAAGTTCTTCAACAGCACATCCATCAGTTAGTCTCATCAGGCTACACAGTACAAGTATAAGTTCTTCATCAGCACCTACTCCAGGTACAAAGTATAAGTTCTTCATCAGCACCTACTCCAGGTACAAAGTATAAGTTCTTCATCAGCACCTACTCCAGGTACAAAGTTTAAGTTCTTCAACAGCACCTACTCCAGGTACAAAGTATAAGTTCTTCATCAGCACCTACACCAGGTACAAAGTATAAGTTCTTCATCAGCACCTACTCCAGGTACAAAGTATAAGTTCTTCATCAGCACCTACTCCAGGTACAAAGTTTAAGTTCTTCATCAGCACCTACTCCAGGTACAAAGTTTAAGTTCTTCTTCAGCACCTGCACCAGGTGCAACATTTGGGAAAAAACTGTTTTCCTCAACACTACTTTTCTTGTAAAAACACTTTCCTTTACGTCTGTGGATCATAATAAACACTTTGACTGTAGTTATATTCCGAACTCTGTATTCCTCTGAAAGATAATGTAATATTTCACTGAAAAAAAAATAAACTTTATGAATCATCGAATATATTTCATTCGTGGATACCGCTATCAATATCGAATTATATGTTAATAATGACAGCCAGTGACGATGTGTGTAATGTAAAACAGATGTTTGTTTTACACAAGTCCGGCAGATGCTGCCACGAACAACACTTTCACTCCTTATTAACCCCTTTCCAGAAATAAAGATGGACAAATATACAAGTGTGTCGTACCTTCAGATGAATTTATTCAAGTAAATACTTCTTTTTTTAAGAGTTCGTTCTTTGAAGGTGTCGTTTTTGACGCATATCAAGAGTACGTCTCTATGTTTTCGAGTTCAAGTCTATTATTCGTCAGGAACGATACATTTTCCAGGAATTCGAAGCCTTGAAGATAAGAGAGGAGCTGTGAGGGGATCTAAGGGAGAAAAGACGTCCATCCCTTACTTGGTCAAAGCTGACTGACTGCCGTCTACCGGGCGTTGCAAACTCGTATGGGCTGACTGTTTTACAGTTAATTTCATAACAATGACCCGTTTATGGCTTCTGCCTTAATAGCTTTATATTAAAGATTATTGGCTATAATGGCTCATTTCGAATTTTTTTTATCATTGATCTTTGCTAAAAGTAAAGATTTCTGAGGCTAAGGACATTCCATCACTTAAATCCAACACTAAGAAAAGCACTAAAGGAAAAGCACACAAGTGCTGAGCAAGGTGTCATTTTGACGACGTTTCGCTCGGTGTAGATTGAAATAATTATTATAATCAACGCAGGACACGTTATCACAATGGATGTTTGATCTGCGCCTCTAGTGTGTGCACCGTTGATCTGATTCATCGTACCACAAGCGTGCACACACACACACACACACACACACACACACACACACACACACAACACACACACACACACACACACACACACACACACACACACACACGCACACACACACACACACACACACACACACACACACACACACACACACACACACACATGTTCCGTTTTCCCCCTCGGTCAAATTACCAGTTTGACTGTTGTTGACAAGAACGGCATACGCCGTTGCAATCCTCTGGAACAAGCGTGAAGTCTCTGTTATTCCTGTTTTAAATAAAGACTGTAGAGACCGAGAGTTTTTACTATTATATGTTAAATAAATGTTAATAAATCGCTAAACCAGTGTGGGTCAGTCAGCGCAAGAAGTGGGCGTAGATGTCTACGGAAATCAGTTTTAAAAATGACCTTCAATTGATTTTTTTTGAGTTTATGCATAATAGCGTCAGAAATTGTTCAAATAACTTTCACCTGGTACGGAAGGGCCCAAAAGTCTAGGAATGTGTGGAATTTAACTACAGCAAGAGGTGGGGCCAGGAGCTAACAGTCGACCACTGCACTCGAAACTAAGGACAATTTGCAGAATACACACGCATACACAGGTACGTAAACATCAAGTAACAGAAAAAAAACAGGAACACACAGGCAAACAAATAAATAAATAGTAACAGGTAAACAGACAAGAAAACAGACAACAGCCAGACGACAAACAAGCCATTATAAACTGCAAGATCTAAATGCTTTTAAAAAACTATCCCGGTCAGGTGAGCATTGCGTGTGGAATTTCTTGCAAATAATTACCCGATTTGGAAAAAAAACTAAAACAAATCCTAATCATTTTTGTTTGTAAATATTTATATCTCTCTTTTGTGTTCACGCTCCGCTTCCAGTTAATTATATTTTATAATCTTATAATTATATTGTTATAATTTTTTGGTGGGAAGGAGGCAATGGTGGGGGGGGGGGGGGGGGTCAGGCAAGCTGAAAAAAATATGAGCGATTTAATGATGTCTCAGCATATTTGTTGTCTGGTAAATATCACGAATATTTGCTCTCAACAGAGATAGATAGATAGATAGATAGATAGATAGAGAGAGAGAAGAAGAGAGAGAGAGAGAGGAGAGAGAGAGAGAGGAGAGAGAGAGGAGAGAGAGAGAGAGAGAGAGAGAGAGAGAGAGAGAGAGAGAGAGAGAGTTAGTGTTATATTTACCATCGTAAGGTATTACTAAAAGCAACGAAAAAAAAAATCGCTATCAAGAAAAAATAAAACTGATTTATCCTCGGGTTTGATGCGCGGCCTGAAGGCTGGAGTGAGTCAATAAAACACCTGGACACTGTGACGTGATAAATAATGACGCAGGGTCAGTCTTAACTTGGAAAAAGACCAAAGGTTAAATCCTCTAAGCATTAATAAGCGCGACAGGAATAATTCTCTTTGTTACACGGTTCTTCGTTTTCTGTGGTATAATTGGGCAGGCGAGGGTGGACCAAGTTGAAGGTGGTCAGTCTGAGAGCAGCCATGGCAGGGGCAGGGAGTAGATCAGCCTTACCCACAGTCCTCCTTGCTAACGTGCAGTCACTCGCAGACAAATTAGAAGATCTTAAAAAGAGGCTGGAGGATCGGGACATTGATGTTTGCGCCCTCACCGAGGCCAGGATAGGGGATGCTGCACAGGCTGAGATAGAGGGATACACGCTGTGGTTGCAGACTCGGCCAGAAAAGAAACATGGTGGCTTGGCCCTCTACGTCAGGGATGACATTACCTCCACAGTGTTACCCTTCCACGTCCCTAGTAACCTGGACGTGTTGTGGGTGAGGGTGGACCCCCGAGGCTTACCCAGCGATGTGTCCTGCGTGGTGTTCTGTGTGGTCCACCACACCCACCCTCACACCAGCGGCCTCAGGGAGCCCCTCATGGCCCACCTCATGGATGTAGTGACCGGGATCTACAGCCGAGAGCCAGATACGGGAGTCGTTATCCTCGGGGGCTTCAGGGACTTCCCGGAGCATAAGATCCCTCCGGACCTGAACCTTCAGCAAGTGGTCAACAAGCCCACCCACAGAGGCAGCATCATGGATGTAATTGTCACTAACTTGATGAATCACTACAAGAAGCCCAGACTCTTACGTCCCATCGCTTCCTCGGCTTACAAGAGCGTCTACTGGGTGTCTAAATAGCTATTATATATATAATCTATCTACTGGGTGTACCGGTAGTTATTACAGCTGCTGCTTGTCTACTGGATATCCCGGTAGTTAGTACAGCTGCTGGTCTTCTGGGGTATCCCGGCAGTTACTACAGCTTCTGGGTTTCCCGGTACTTTTTACAAATGTTGCCTGTCTGCTAGGTGTTGCAGTACTTCCTGCAGCTGCTGCCTGCCTACTAAGTGTCCCGGTAGTTACTACATCTGCTGTCTACTGGGTGTCCCTGTACTGCTTATCTACTGGATATCCTGGTTGTGCTTGTCTGCTGGGTGTCCCGGTAGTTACTACATCTGCTGTCTACTGGATGTCCCTGTACTGCTTATCTACTGGATATCCTGGTTGTGCTTGTCTGCTGGGTGTCCCGGTAGTTACTACATCTGCTGTCTACTGGATGTCCCTGTACTGCTTATCTACGGGATATCCTGGTTCTACTTGTCTGCTGGGTGTCCCGGTAGTTACTACAGTTACATCCGGAATGATCTTGTGTCCACATATTTATTGAACGGATAAGGAAGTTGACTTATAAGACAGAATTTTCATTCTATTTTCTACGTGATATTTCTAGGAAACCTTTAGCTAAGTTGAACTATAAAATGACATCTGAAACGTTACTTTTAACAAGAATACACCTACTCATTTCCTCTTGTGAAAAAAATCTAATATAAAGAAA